CTCCCCACCCCGGCTCTTCCAGGAACGCGCGCTCCCCGCCCGGATTCGGCCTCCGCTCGGCCAAGACTCGACTCAGCTCGGATCCTCTCGGCCCCGCCCGCCTGCCACTCGGTTCCCCCTCGGTTTTGCTCGGCCCCGCCCGCTTGGGACTCGGTTGTGCTCGGCTATGTTCGGCTCCATTCGGCCTGGCTCGGCCCCACCCGCCCGAAGGCAGCTTGGCAGAGGCAGAGGCGGCGGCCCGGGCCCCCCCTGCGGGCCGCGGCGCCTTCCGGGCCCCCCTTCCGGCCGAGGCCGCTTCCTGCGCGGCTGGGAAGGCGCCTGTCTCGCCGCCGCCTTCGGGCTGCAGAAACCCACAGTCCCCGCCACAACCACAGAAAGGCCGGAGGACGGACAAGGCGGGCCCGGCAGCCTCCACCAAGTATCCCAGGGTCCCCGCAAGACAGGGATGTCACTTAACGCATCTAAACCTCCCATAACAAGGACTCCACACAATGCCTGGGGGTCCCTGCACGCAACGGGGACACTACACAACACCATGTGGGGATACTACGATAGCAAGGATTCCACACACGAAACAGGCACCCCTCGGCATGACCTGGACAGTCCCACAAGGTGAGGCCAGGCACAGCCCTAGCCCCAGGGACGGTTGGCAAATACTACCAACCACTCTGTGACCCAGCGACTTCAGCTCCTGCTCCAGGCCAGCCGCAGAACCTTCTTACTGGTCCCAGTGCAGGATTTGGAGATCCTTAGCCCCGCGTGTAATCTATGCTCTATGCTCACACCTCTGCTCTCTGAGCTGCCGCTGGCCCTGGCGCTGCCAAGGCCAACCCCAGGGTGGGACCTCAGAGTCCCGGCCTCAGTCTGTTTCAGGCAGACTGACTGGCATGACCCTTACCCCGTAACCTCTAGTCCAGGAACCACTTAGATATCCGTGAGCACCAAGGTGAGTGGCCATTGTCCCTCCTTGTCTCTGGGAGACAGCCAGAAAGGACATGGAGGGAGAAGGCCAAGAGGCTCAACATGAGACATTCGGGCCAGGTGATCCTCATAGGAGGCAGCATTCAATAGAGGCCTTTGGGGTGGAGACTCAAAAATCACAGAGATGGCTCTGCCCAGCTCAACCTGAACTGAGTCTAGCTGAACTGAGCCATGATCCCTTTGGCACAGGATAAGGTACCCAAGTTGGCCTGGACGCTAGGAGACATGTGGGAAATCTCACAAAGCTGAGCATAGATGAGAGGGCCATACCCACTTCAGCCTTGGTGCCCTCTAGCTTGTGACCTGCTATTCCTTACTTCTGCAGTGGAGACTAAAACAGATTCCACACCAGCATTCTTAGGGTATAGCTTCTGACCTGGGGAGTTGGCCAGACTTCTCTCTGCAGACCTGGGTCACCCCTGAGGCAAGGACAGTGTCTAGAGGCAGCTAGGACCAGCTAGGACCTCCCACTCTTCCTACTCACTCCGCTAGCCCCCAAAAATGGCAGTCCCCAACACAAGACTTCTCTGTATGCTCAGACAAGAAAACTGGATAAGAAGGTTGTTTCCAGGCCACCCATGTCACAGTGGTTAAGGTGGCTGGATCCCACATGGCTGACTGCCCAGTTTGAGTTCCAGACCCGGTGGCTTGAAAAACATGCCAGGCATGAGCCAACAGGTGGTATGGTGATCAAGATAGTAGAGTCCCATTTGACTGACCATAGTTCAAGCCCCAGTCATGCCAGGTGTGTGTGCATACATGCCCAAAATCCAGAGAGGAGAGTGGAGGAGAAAGGTCTGTGGCATGGCCATCATCCTTGGGGGGGCAGGGGTTGTGAGTTCTCACTTTCTCTCTCTCTCTCTTTGTCTTTCTCTGTGAGCACATGCATCCTATAACCCCCCAAAAAAAATCATTTCCTTAAAATTGACGTGTTTTCTTTTTTTTTTCAATTTGCTATAGGGTAAGTACATTTGCTGGAGAGAGACAGAGAAAGGGAGAAAGAGAAAGTGAGAAAGCACTTCCCAGGGCCTATGGCCACACTGCCATCCCTTCTCCATTCTCTCTTCATGACTGTGGCCACACACACACACACACACACACACACACACAGATGTGTTCCATGTGTTTCTCAAACCTCTGGGTCCAGGATTTGAACTGCATAGTCAGGCACATGGGACCCAACTGCCTTAACCATCATGCCACCAGCTGGCTCTAAAAGGAATTTTTTTTAATTATTTATGTAACTTTATTTATTCATTCATTCATTTTTAATTTTACCAGAGAGACACACACAGACAGAGAGAGAGAAGGTGAGAAAGCAAGCCACCACGTCCAGGATTTGACCCATGGTCAGCCATGTGGGAGCATCAGTGCCTTAACCACCACACCACCGGCTGGTCCCTAAAAGGAATATTTTTAAAACAAAAGGGACTTACTTGTTTTTCTAAAGATCCTTTGTTGACTCACATTTTCAATTGAAAAGTTAACATTGCACTGGGGAGAGTCATTTCTTTCCATCTGGATTTAAATTCCATACCACTGAGACAAGGTGAAATTCAAAGATGGTTGGGGGACCAGCAGTTAGTGTAATGGTATGTCACTGGACTCCCATGTAGTTGAGTCCCGGACCCGGTGGCTTAAACTCACACCGGGTGCGCGTGTGTGCATGGCCAAGATCCTGAGAGGAGAATGGAGGAGATGGGATTGCAGTGTGACCATCCCCCCTGGGGGGTGATTCCTCACTTTCTGTCTCTCTGTCTCTTTCTGTCTTTCTGGTGAGCGCACGTGCCCTATAGCAAAAACCTCTCCAAAAAAAAAAAAAAAGATGATTAGGGAATCTGAGGACTGGTTGTGGAAGCTAATTTATTGAGGAATTCCTCCTACTCTTTTGACCAAACAGGATAGTAAGCACAACCTCCTAGGATGGGCAGTGTCTGCTCAGAGGCTCCCCTTCCCTCTGTGCTTCTGGCTTTGTAGGGTCAAGTGAGTGGCCACGCTTTCCCCAGCAGCAGCACCTGAGTGAAGCCGTGAGTATGCAGGAGGATGCAGGTACTGGTCACAGGAGACCATCCAGTGCCCTAACCACCACACCACCGGCTGGTCCCTAAAAGGAATATTTTTAAAACAAAAGGGACTTACTTGTTTTTCTAAAGATCCTTTGTTGACTCACATTTTCAATTGAAAAGTTAACATTGCACTGGGGAGAGTCATTTCTTTCCATCTGGATTTAAATTCCATACCACTGAGACAAGGTGAAATTCAAAGATGGTTGGGGGACCAGCAGTTAGTGTAATGGTATGTCACTGGACTCCCATGTAGTTGAGTCCCGGACCCGGTGGCTTAAACTCACACCGGGTGCGCGTGTGTGCATGCCCAAGATCCTGAGAGGAGAATGGAGGAGATGGGATTGCAGTGTGACCATCCCCCCTGGGGGGTGATTCCTCACTTTCTGTCTCTCTGTCTCTTTCTGTCTTTCTGGTGAGCGCACGTGCCCTATAGCAAAAACCTCTCCAAAAAAAAAAAAAAGATGATTAGGGAATCTGAGGACTGGTTGTGGAAGCTAATTTATTGAGGAATTCCTCCTACTCTTTTGACCAAACAGGATAGTAAGCACAACCTCCTAGGATGGGCAGTGTCTGCTCAGAGGCTCCCCTTCCCTCTGTGCTTCTGGCTTTGTAGGGTCAAGTGAGTGGCCACGCTTTCCCCAGCAGCAGCACCTGAGTGAAGCCGTGAGTATGCAGGAGGATGCAGGTACTGGTCACAGGAGGGAGCATGACAAAAGGTGGCTGGTGAGGAGCAAAGTGCCCTAAGAAGCACAGAGGGTGTCAGGCCAGCCTCTGAAGTTGCCTCTGCCCTCAGTGAGCTCCAATGCTTTCCCCCCTAAAAGATATTGGAGTTTCTGGAGCTACCTATTCCACCCCATGAAGGATGAGGGCAGTTGTGCCCAGATAGAGCTCTTTGGGCCCTGTTTTCTCTCTGAACCAAGCAAGGGGCTCCT